TAACGCTGAGTTGTTGATCAAAGCAAGAGCAAAATGTTGATGCATTTGCTGTGTTGAAATCTTCAAGAGAATTTTGTTGCTGAGTTGAGGTGCTATTGAGGTTGCTACGACGCTCTCGCTTGTGATGCGTTAGAGATTCAAACCATGTCGGATTATACTGCAAATCTTCTGCTGAATTGAAAATATGAAGTTGGCGGAGAAGACGGAATCAACATTAACATTGGCGTTGTTTTTTGTCGTTTTTTCGAACTTTCACAGTTTTCATACAACTTGTTATCTTTTCTTACTAACCAACTTAATAGAAATGAAAACATCGAGTATTCTAGATTTGTAGCAGCCCTACAATCCTTAACTCAAGAACAAACGGGACAACAAACAACAATGACTTAACATCCCCTCCTCGACATTACATAACAGACCCAAACAAATACAACTCGGTTGCTTTTAATCCCAAACTCTAAACCATTACAAATATACAAAAGCAAAACTGATTGTAGTTTTAATGTCCAGTCAGATAAACACACATACTCCATTCACAGCTTACCGAGAATCGAATGTTACCAATGCCTTGTTGTTTGATGAGTGATTTAGAAACGTCTAAATAGCACGAACAAGATGCAGAAGTACTCAACCTTAGCTTGTTGGTGAGGGATTTTAAACCACCGTCATTCCGAGCTTGTGACGTAAATGTTGTTAAGCTTACGATACCAAAAACGGATAAAAAACATTATCGTTCTTGGCAACAAGGTCACAGTAGTGTTATCATTATTGAATGATATTGGTTTAAGGGCGTAGGAGCTTAAGGCGTTGACCGTGGTATATCATGATCCAACTGCAGAAACTATTGTTTTGGGTAGAAATAAATCCAAGCTGCTCCGAGAATGAGTTGACACGGTGATTGAATCCATGAAACTTGCTGTAACCAAGTATTTGAAAGAGATATGGTTTTGATGGAGGAGTATTTATGTGGATGACAACGGTTTCAATGGAAGGGCACTTTCAGTGGTATTTAGGAATGAGAGAGCTTTTCTGTGAGAGTTTTTCGGAGGGGGAGATGTTGGTGAATCGTAGTGAAAACAGAGGAGGGTGATGGTGCGTCGGTGGATGGGTCTAGGGGGAAGAAGAGTTTTTTTAGGGTTTTTGGCGGCTGGTTTTTTTTAGATGTTGGAAGATGAACAGTGCGGAATTCCTCTTATTTATCCCAATCCTCTCAAACCCTAAACCTAATTTCCAAACCTTCCCACCGTGTTTCTCCAATTTTCAATTTTTTATTTTTAGTTTAATTAATAATTAACTTTTCTGTTTTTGATTAATAATAATTCTAACTAATATATTAACTCTAATTCTAACTTAATTAATATTAAAAAAAACAAATCTAATTATAATTTTAAATAAAATTCTAATTAAAATTTTACTCTATTTCTAACTTAATTCTAAAAATAATTCTAAATCTATTAATAATAAAAAAAAATCTAAAAAATCTAGTTAAAATTCTAATTTAGTTTCAAGTTAAATTCTAAATTATAAACTAAATAATTAACTAATGTTAAAATTATATTATATTTACATATTATAAGAATCAAATTATAAAGCAAAAATAATAAAATAAAATAATAACAAAATAAAAGTAAAAATGCCACGTGTCACAAATTTATTGGCCTAAAAAGGCGAAAAAGTTTATTTTTTGCTGAAAAATATGTTACGTTGTACGAGCAATGCAAATTAAAAAAATAAAGTCGGACGAATGAAAGTTTTGAAAAAGGTAGGACAAATTTGGGGTATGACAAAGGTGAATTCATTGACTTGACCAACATGATGGAAGCTACGGGCCTTTTTGAAATGGGCAGTGTGAGGCAGTATTATACCTGGAGCAACAATCAAATGAAGAATCCTATATACTTTATAATTGATAGGGTATTGGGGAACATGGACTCGCTGACTAGTAACATGGAGATTACCCCACCAACAGAAACTCAAGTGTATCTGACCATGCACTTCTTTGCCTGTAGAACAAGAAACAACAAATTACCAAGAGTTATAGATTTAGATTCAACAACATAGTGGCTAGTATAGAGAGGGCTTTAGAGAGGCGTTTATTGAGATCTAGAGGACACACACTATAGGAAGACCTATGGTCAGAGTGTAGATGAAGCTCAAAAATTTACAACTTGTTATGAGGAGAATGAGCAAGCCTTTGACTGGTGCCACTAAGAAAGTGGAAGAAGTTAGGCAGAACTTAAGAATTTCCCAAAATAGCCTTCCTAGAGATTGAATGAATCCTGAGCTTATTGAGGAAGTTAGGAAGAAAACCTTGAAGGTGCTTAATTGGAATGTGATAAAGGAAAAAAGACCTGTAGCAAAAGGCTAAAGTGGAATGGCTCAAGTTGGGGGATGGAAATAATGCTTATTTCCACGCCTCACTAAAAGCCAAAAATAAATAAAAATGCTTGAATATCCTAGTTACTGACAGTGGAGACATCCTGAACAAGCAAGAAGACATTGAAGCAGAAGTCATTAACTATTATGGCACTCTGATGGGCAAGGTTGACATTTGCTTAAAAAGAATTAATGTTGTTGCTAAGAGGGAGGGGCCTCAACTTAGTAATGACTGCAGAGATATGCTAGTTGCATCAGTAACTGAAAAAGAAATAAAGGAAGCTATGTTCAGCATTGGCAATCTCAGAGCTCCATGTGAGGATGGCTATGGCTCCCTTTTCTTCAAAACTGCCTGGAACATCATCAAAGAAGACATAATCACAATTTTTCAAGAATTCTTTATTGGAGAAAGGATGCACAAACCTGTCAACAACACTATTGTGACTCTTATTCCCAGAATTGCTGAGGCTAAACATGTGAAGGATTATGTGCCAATATCTTGCTGCTCAACTTTGTACAGGGTAATATCTAAAATCCTAACTACTAAGCTGGGTAGAGTCATATGGATTATAGTCCAAAGGAACCAAGCAGTTTTTTTCCCTGGGCACCACCTTAATGATCACACAATACTTGCTTATGAGTTGATTAGAGGGTACACTAGCAAAGGTACCACTCTAAAGTGTTTGATGCAGATTGACTTACAAAAAGTATATGACATCATTGATTGGCAAACTCTGGGGAAAGTTTTGCAGAAAAATGGTATTCCTAACTAGTTTATCAGATGGATAGTGTTTACTGTGACTATTGTATCTTATAAGTTTGTGGTAAATGGGGTATATACAAAGAGCATGCCTGCAACGAGAGGACTTAGGCAAGGGGACCCCATATCCCTTTTACTTTTTGTCATTGTGATGGATTACCTTACCAGATCCCTTGATCAACTAATGAAGAATTTGAACTTCAATCACCATTCAAAGTGTGAGAAGATTTAGCTCACCAGACTCACTTTTGCAGACGACTTCCTCGTTTTTACTAGAGGAGACAAAATGTCTGTGGAGCTTATGATGGAGAAATTCATGAACTTATCTAAGTTTACTAATTTGAAGAAGAATCCTAGCTAGGAAGTGCACCATCTACTTTGTTGTTGTAGATGAGAACATTGGGGTTGACATAAAGAGTATAACTAGTTTTAGGGAAGGTAATTTACCTTCTAGTTATTTGGGTGTTCTTTGAATTAATTAAAGCTTTTTGGTTCAAAATAATAATAATAATAATAAATAGACCAAACATATATTTCAAAATCAATTAGTTATTAATTTTATTTTAATACAAAAAGGTAATATAATTTTTAACATTTTAATTGTTTAAAAGAAAATTTTATTTTAATTCATAAATATCATAAAATAGACCAAACATATATTTCAAAATCAATCAGTTATTAATTATTAATATTTTAAAACAACATTGGACTAAATCAGATCTCGCCATTTAAATACATCATGATACTATTTTTCAAATATATATATATATATATATATATATATATATATATATATATATATATATATATATATATATATATATATATATATATATATATATATATATATATATATATATATATATATATATATATATATATATATATATATATATATATATATATATATATATATATATATATATATATATATATCAACTGTTAGTTTATTTTCAATCCTGCCGAAAACATTATTCATATTTATCTATTAATATAAATAAATTATTTAAATTAATTAATTAACAATATTTTTATAAAATATCATTATCATAACAAAAACTAAATATTATTTCTTGCTCTCTCTATTTTTAATTAAATTTTCATTTTAATATTTTTCTTATACTAAGACAACCAATATATTTATATAAAAAAAACAATTATAGAGAGTAATATAATAATTGACTAGATTAGGGCATTGTATGATACATAACATATAGCGATGCTTGTTTGGATTTTTTGTATGAAATAAGCAGTTATATTATGCGAGGAGTCGTTCTGTCCCACATCACACCACACGTACTACTCTTAGTAACCGAATAACATAATAATAAAAGCAACCATTTCATAATCATTTATAGAAATAAAAAAGAAAATAAAAATATTATTATATTATTATAACTTTTTCCCTCCCCTTCATTCATCACTTTTATTTTTACCCACTTCAGTTCACTCCTGTTTCCGTTTTCTTTTCTTTTTCGTTTCTGGATCATGTCGCCATCGCCATCGCCATCGCCATCTTCTTAAGGTTCGTTCCTTCTTTTCTCTTCCTTTTTCTTTTTCCGTTTTTTATTTTATTCATTTTTTATTATTATTCTGCTTTTTTTTGTTGCTTTTTCTTTTTGAGAAGAACACGCATTTTGATTTTTGACAGTGAAACTAGTTCACTACCATGTTTTTTTTTTTTTTTACTTTGTCTGTTTCTCTCTTTGATCCTACATTCTACAAATTTGTCTGTCCTTTTTTTTTATAACTGTTTCTTCAATCCAACCATTCTGACATAGGTTTTGCAATTAAGGTAACTTTTACTGTTTTCACTCATTGGGGGCTCCATCTGTTTGTTGAAAAACCTCAAACAAAATTAAAAATGAAGGACTTTCCTACTTGTTTTGGTGAGAATGGAGTTCAAGTTGCCGATTCTTCGTCGTCGTCGAGTGCGGCGAGAAATGCTCAAAACAATATGGTTACTAGTGTCTATCAATGCCGGATACGGGGGAGGTCTTGTCCGGTTACGGTTAATTGGAGTAAGAATTTGGTGGGTCATCTTCTCACTGTTGGGATCCATGATTGTGTTTGTAAGGTGGATGTTAAACCGTGGGTTTTCTCTAAGAAGAAAGGTTCCAAGAGTCTTGAGGCTTTTTCGGCTAAAATTGATGTCTTTTGGGATCTTTCTTCGGCTAAATTTGGTTCCGGGCCTGAACCGTTAGAAGGGTTTTATGTTGGGGTTGTTGTGGATCGGCAGATGGTTCTTCTTCTTGGGGATTTGAGGAAAGAAGCTTTCAAGAAAACGAATGCTGTACCGTTGCCGTGCGGTTCCGATGGAGCTGTTTTAGTAGGCAAGAAAGAGAATGTTTTTGGTAAGAAGTTGTATGGTACAAAGACTGTGTTTTGTGATAATGGTCAAATTCATGATCTTGTGATTGAATGTGATACCACGAGTGGTGTTAGTGATCCATCTCTTATAATTCGCATAGACAGCAAAATTGTGATGCAAGTGAATCGGTTGAGGTGGAAGTTCAGGGGGAATCATATAATCCTCGTTGATGGAATTGCGGTGGAAGTTTTTTGGGATGTTCATAATTGGCTCTTTGGTACTTCTCTTGCAGATGCTGTTTTTATGTTCAGGACGTGCCTCTCCGCGGACAAGTTGTGGACTAGACAACCCCTTTCTTCTGAGGATGCCGGTCTGCTTCAATGGTCTTTCTCTGAGAGGTTTTCCGAGACCAAATTTCCGGGTCTTGGTTTTTCGCTTATTTTGTATGCGTGGAAGAACGTGTAGAGACGCAGAAATCCATCATATATTTATTACTAACAGACATCTTAGTGAGTTATTTATTTATCTACCATGTCACTGAAATACAGTTGACTGAAAAGGAGTTCTTTAGTTTTGTTTCTTTCAATCCCTGATTTAGCTAATTAGCTGAGATATTTGAACAAATCAGGGGCTTTTGTTTTGGCAATACAAATGGCTGTATATTTGCCTTGAGTTGTTAATTTTATAATCCATTTTGTTTCAAGTTTGTTTCTCGTGCTTTTCAACGTAGTATTCTGATTTACTTACATGTCAATATTTTTTTTATCAGTGTACACATATCTATTGATTATACACAATTCTGGGCTGTTTATTTTAACTTTTTTTGCATTGAGAATTCATTTTATCAAATATGTAATGTGGATACCCCAAACTGATAATACACTATTATTACAAAGTTATGGCAATCATATGCTTAGGAGAGCTGAGTTTGAAGAAAACAGTCTCTTAATTGCAACGAATGTCAATGTTCTTTCCTTATGACTATTGGAGGCTTTCTTATTTGCTTGTTGTTCGGGGAACTGAGATGGTGAAGCTATCATCGTGCTCCGGAAGAATACTGGTTTTATGCTCTACACTTGAGACGTGAATAAGAATATTTAGTGCAAATTGGGTACAAGATTCTTACCAATTATATATTTGATATGCTGGTAGGCCAAATATCGTTTTAATTTCCTCTATGCAGACAATTTCCTTTTTGCCGTTGTTTGTGAATCATTGTTTTCTTTCCATTGACTTTCTGATGCTGAAACTGAGACACCCCTTGTCTGTTGTTGTATGATTCTCTGCTGCTGCAGGATTAAACTTGCTAATTACAAAGAATGATAACTTTTTTAAGATCATTGCGCTGCAATTTCAGTTGCAAAACTCAAAGAAATATTATAACTATGCAGGCTATATAGAAAACTCTATTGCTTATTTATATTTTCCTTATCATTTTTCATAGTATCTGTTTCAAAAGTGATGGCACCACTGCACTGTGGTAGTTATTCTTCACTCTCCTGCATTATAAACACATGCTCCTAAGAGTTGTCATCCACATCTATATGTTTTTATTGTTTGGGGTTATAGCCAAATCTTAAAGCCTTCTAAATACAAGTTGTTAGCTTGGAATCCGAAATTATGAGTACCAGTTAATCTAGTCTGACATTTTTGGTTGATTCCTGCTATCGAACTATTCTACATGATTAGGTTCTTGATAACTTGCAATGTAATTTTCATGCACTTATCTTTTGTTTTGTAATCCCTTGTTTAGTATGAAGTTTGCTGAAGTCATATGTATATCATTTTTGAGATCGTCTGTTACGGAACAACAAAGAAAATAACAGATAGAAAATACATTGCTACCCTCTCTTATTTCTAGCACGTGTGTCATTTTAGAGGTCCTGTAACGTAGACAAGAGCTGCCAACAATTTTCATAGTCTAGCAGATTTTCTCACTTGATGACAACATATTTTTTTCCTTATCAGCATTAGTTCAAAATTCAAATTGCAAGTATTGCAGTTAGCTGCATCTTCAACTCCAACTGTCCTCGGTTATTTCAGCTTATGAGCAACCCAAGTTGGTTTTGGTCACAACTTAGTAAGGTTGATATAGCTCAGATTAATCCTTTGATTCATCTTTTAGCTAGAGTTTTCATTTTGTAAGGAGGCATCTCCCACATGGAACTATATTGCTACACCTGCTACGAAGAAATGCAAATTTAACTAACGGAAAGTAATCTAAGATGCGCTGATCGTGTTGTCCAACATGCTAACTCTCTCAACAAACCGAAGATACATAACTCATAAGAATAATTTTTTGATCATGATGATAAAACCCAAAAAATTAAAGAACTCTTTAACTACTCGTATTGTTTTTTTAATGCTTGTGTTATTCTGTTGAGTTTGAATCAAAAGCTTTTTTTTTTGTAATTCATCACATGTGGTTTTCTCTACTGCTGATTAAGTCACAATCTATATTGAAGACCAAAGACCAAAGAAGTAGCATTTTTTAAGGAAAAAAAGGACAGTAACATAACTGATACGGGTGCATGTTTTGTGGAATTGAGATGCTACTGGAGTGGATACCATAATAAACCAATAATAAAAAAAACTGCTTTATCCACCTCAATACTCTAGAAATGGAAAGTTGTAGCTCGTAAAGTACAGCCATGAGAAAAAAGGAAATACAGTCAAATCACATTCATTATGAAAGTTTTATCACAATATTTTAGAGCCACTGCCATCAAAACGTTTACATGTCTTTAGATAAATATAAATATTTATTACTGAAGGTAAAATGCAGAACAAAATGAATTCTCATTTTAAAATTGAAAATTAAATAAATGAGGAATTCTAAATATGTTGATTCATTTTGGTATTTATCTAATAAAGTGAAAAAGTTTGTTACATAACAATATTTAAGAAGTGCTGCATCACGAAGACAATGTTAAAGTCTTCAAGGCAGTTGTAAGTTGAGAGAGCTTGTCAGGAGCTCTCTGCTTGTAATCCTTCTCCAACGCTTTGGCTGCTAGAGATTGTAACTGTGATCCTTCTTTATCTTCTTTGTTCTTGCCTTTTGTAAGTTGCGCAATGGCAGAAGTGCACTGGAGAAAAGGAGCAAAATAAGTGAATGAGTTTGAAAGAAGAATCCAAAAAGCCCAAGTTGTTGAGAAGAAAAATATGATATCTACCAAAGCAGACTTATATTCAGATAAGAGAATCATGAATTTGTATGTTGTACATGACAAGAGAAACTAAACAGTGAAATGAAAGAGAAGGAGAAAGAACTCACCAAGCATACACCAAAGAGTGCTCTGGTATTCTTGCCTCCAGTTAAGTCAATAGTGGATGCATAGTATTTCTTGGCAGTTTGGACATTTTCTAATCCACCTAGCGTATAAAGTACCTAGCAATACCGCAATACCATCGAAGTCAAGATGATGTTTATAACTCATACCAGGTAAACCTGTGTATTTCTAGGATGCAATGCTTAGTTAAGATCAAGATGATGTTAATCATAATTCCAAAAGAAGTTACTTACATCAGCATATGCTAAGTGATAGAGTGGAACAGTTGGTTGAGCTAATATCACTTCCTCGTAGCAAAATGCTGCTTGTTTATACCTGGCAGGAAGACACATTCAAAAAACAAAGGAAGATTAATAATTAAACATAAATAAATCACTGCTGAAAGAAAAATGGAAAAATAATCTTACATTTGCAAGGATAAGTATACTTCAGCCAATTCCCTCCATGCATCATGATCTGCCATGAATCTGTGAAAGTGAGAAAAATAGTTCAGATATATGTTCTTCTGTCATGTGTAAATTATAAGTAATATTTTCCTTTATTTTCAATTTCAGAAGGGCAAAAAGTTAACAGCTGTCTTACATTTCCAGATATTTATTAAGCCATTCAATAGCCCCAGAAGTATTGCCTTGTGCCTTTGCCATAGCCACCCTCCTCTTATGGATGGCCTGTTCAACAACAACGCAGCCAAAAAGAAAAGTTAGGTTTTCAAAACTCAAGAAAGCCTTGGCGCAGCTGTCATATGACTGGAGATAACAGGTTCAAGTCACAAAATCCACCTCTTGCATATGCAGAGTAAAACTAGAACAATAAATACACAATAGATCCAACCCTCCCCTAAATTCCACTATGGTGGAAGCTCTTTAGCATCGGGTTTCCCTTTTGGGTTTTCAGTACTCAACCGGCTACTCATTTTTATAGGTTAAAGTAAAAGAATGACTTATATCAAGTCAAATTGACAACAAAAAAAAGAGTCATTATTATTGCAAGTTTTGTTTCATCACTAAGTGACAGTTCCCCCTCCCAATTTTTTCCCAGTAAGGTTAAGCAAGTTTACTTGATCAAGAGGGTTATCCTCTAAAAGGCTTGTGTAAGCCTTTTCTGCCATTTCCCATGACCCTTTTGCTTCAAGCAACATTGCCTCCAGCCTGCCTGTAATAATTAGTCGCCACAAACAAAGTAAACAGAATTAGCAAAAACATGCATATGCAAAACAAACTAATTTGGATTTCAAACTGTGAATGTATTAACATTATATACCATCCCTCTGGAACGAATGGAAATCAACCATGTTAATCACCCACCAAAATACCAAAATTTGTTCAAGAAACCATAACTGGGCATCAATAATCAGTGAAGGGTGTGCAGTTGCTTGTGTTTCGGGAGTAAACATTACAATTAAGATGTATTTGGAAGATTATCATAAAGTTTTGGAAGTTTTAAATGTAACTACTACTAGAAGGCTAATTAAAATAAATTGTTTCTTAGCCTAACAGTGATCCATATGTTGCAGTGCAGATACATCATCACTGCCCAATTGTTGTGTACCGATTAACATCAACTCACATAATATAAAAGAAATGGATAAAAATGCATATACACTGGGAAAATAGTGTATTATTTCTGTAATGCAAAAGGATGAATATCCTAATTCCCACAGAGCCAAGTTCCTACAGAGAACAATATTCTCTGTCCATTACTACGCAAATTATTTCCTCCTAAAGGTACCTCTTCTCTATCTTTCAGCCCTCATATAACAAATTCAACCCTTTCTCTTTTCTCTCTCCAGTAACTAACCTCCATTTCTCTAACTCTCTTCTTTGGATGACTACAAAAGGCCTAAGAGCTGTGTTGACAGGCTATTCATTCGAGTAGGGCTGGCAATGAACCGAACCAACTCGAAAATGGTTCGGAATTCGATTCGACAATTAAATCGTTGAACTAGGTTCATGAACCAAATGAGTTGAGTATGAGCGAAAAATTAAGTTCGTTAATGTTAAGAAGTGTGGTTGGGTCTAACTCAACCCTACAAAACCGGTTGGTAGAGTGAGGATTACCCCCACTTATAAACGCATGTTCATGCCATATATTGTCCGATGTGGGACTCTTAACACACCCCCTCACGCTCAGGACTGGACAACTGAAGCGTGGAAATAAATGGTGGGTGGCCCGATAGCGGAAACCATAGAAGGTGCCCCACCGGATCTTAAACGAGGCTCTTCATACCATGTTAAGAAATGTGGTTGGACCTAACTCAACCCTACAATACCGATTGGTAGAGTGAGGATTACCCCCACTTATAAACACATGTTCATGTCATATATTGTCCGATGTGGGACTCTTAACACACACCCTCACGCTCAGGACTGGACAACTGAAGCGTGGAAATAAATGGTGGGTGGCCCGATAGCGGAAACCATAGAAGGTGGCCCACCGGATTTTAAACGAGGCTCTGATACCATGTTAAGAAGTGTGGTTGGGCCTAACTCAACTTTACAAAACCGGTTGGTAGAGTGAGGATTACCCCCACTTATAAACGCATGTTCATGCCATATATTGTCCGATGTGGGACTCTTAACAGTTAACTAAATAAGTTGAACTTGAACTATACATAGTTCGACTCGTTAGGTTCATGAGTCAACTCGATTACATATGAGAAGAATTATATTGTCTTTAAGATTAGGTTTAAATATTTACTCCAAATCTTAGACAAATTTAATATTCAATTTAGTAGTTTTTGAATTAGACTCTCAAATGTATCTCTTGAAAGTTGGGTAGGTTTTGAATTAGTAGATTTCGAAGATAAAATTAAATTTCAATATAACTTTTATTTTATTTTAATATTTTATTTTAAAATATATATTTATTTAATATGTCAAATATACTAAAATATATATATATTTTAAAAAATAGTTTTTAAATCCGTGAATCATGTGAGTTGAACCTAATGAGATGAACCTAACGAGTTGAACCGAATTGTTCGTGAACTTATAACGAGTCGAGTTTGAGCTTAAAAAAAATTCGTGTCGAACTCGAACTCGAATCAATTCTTAACGAGTCGAGCCGAGCTGAGGTGAGTTTGACTCGACTCATTTCCAGCCCTACATTCGAGCAACTCAAATCCACAACACAGAAAAGGTAAGAAGGCTAAGAAAGTATAAACTTACCAACTCTTTTGCTCTCTGGAAACCTCTTTCGAAGAACCTTTGTACAGTCCTAACAAAGAAGTAAATTATGATCAACTGTCAGATTCTAAAAGAAAAAGATTTCTCATCATATATGAAAGAAATTACTGCAACATAAAGATCATGAAGGACAACAAGTTTTCTATATAAGTGAGTCAAGTGACAGAAAAGTAAAACCAAGACTTCAAAGAGCAAACAAGATTTCTTATAAAACTATACCATCTAACACATGCATTTCCCATTATCTCCCTATCATCAGTGAGTCAAGTAATAGGCAAAAATATTAGTAACACTGTTTGGTTTTGGGAGAGCTTATGTAAATAGCTTACGACCTATTCATAAGTTGTTTTCAGCTTATTTCTATAGGCTACCAGTGACACTCTTTGAGAGAGCTTATGTACATAGCGTATGACATATTCATAAGTTGTTTTCAACTTATTTTCATAGGCTCTTCAAGATAGCTTAAAGAAACAACTTATAACTGATTTCAAAAGCTATTGACTTTATTTTATCTTTTGTAATGCTAAGTATTGTGCTTAAGTGCTTAACTAAGTTGTAAATCCAAACAAGGCCATATGTTGAGTAGAACCATACATAATAGCTAGGAAATCTAAATACATCCCTACATATGATTCCCAAATTAGCTCAGAATAACAAGTGAACTTCAAACCAAAAAAAAAAAAAAATGTCAACAAAAGTGAGTTACAAGTGAGATTCACATAATAAAACACAATAAACCAATAAAATTGCGATCAAAACCTGAGCAACATCAAGACTTTGACAATCCATAGCCGCAACTGCAACCTGTTCATACAAAGTCCATTCTGAATCGAAACAAAAAAATAATCAATCATCACAAAAACTATAAACCACAAACTGAAATAGATTTGCATAAAATTACTCAAATTAAAACATAATAATTATAAATAAAAAAAATTCAAAATTAGGTTTATGAAGTAACCTTCAGGACCGAGATTGGATCGGAGTTTTGAATCATTCAAGATGGACAAACCGTGCTTGAGGACTTTATCAGAACGGCGAACCTTAAGTTTCCTGACGAGTGAAAGATACTCCCAAGCTCCTCCACCGCCATTATCGACCTGAATTTCTAGATTGTTCAATTGCGATTCCTCTGTTTTCGTTACCATCTTCGCCAAATTCTCAGATCCAAACAACGATAAATCGATTCTCGCCGGCAACAGCAGTGGGTTTTAGAATGATATGTTGTTAATTGGAAATATCACAGTGTGCGCAGTAACGAATACACTAAGATGCAAGATCTGGAGCGTTTGATTAATCTAACGGGTGAGATTTAGCCAAATCATGTACCTTTTCCGCTTTAAAGTTAACAAATCTAGATCACGCTAACACTTCAATACACTCAATAGGATTGTATCAAATTAAAATTTAAATTTAAATTTAAATTATCAAAAGGTCAAAATCGAGTTTTCAATAATATTTAACAAATGCGCCTAACAATATATTTGGCCTTATTTTTGTAAATTTTAAAGGAAAAATCAATGAAAACAAATTAGAATTTTTAATGAATTTTTGTTAGGCGATATTTTATAGTGCTTATCCTTTAAATCAATATTATAATATTTTAATTAAACAATCATCGATGGCATTATTAATGGGGTATGTTTTAGCCTGGCTTTATATTGATAGTAATTATATATAAAATTTTTTTTTAGGAGAAATGCTTAAAGACAGTAAGGAGGCATATGCGATATATGAGACGCATGGCCATCAAAAAGTTTATATTCATGATCGTGACTCCTCGAGCATATTCTTTAAAAATATTTTTTTTCATTAACTAAAGCTTTTTTACTTATTGTAAATTTTTTGAAAATAATGCATGGCCGAACCTCTTCTTCAAAGGAGAAAATAAAACTTAAAAATTGTACTTTTGTTTTACAGAAGTCGGCCAAACTAAATAAGTACAACGTTAATTTTTTAGTTTTAAATAATAAAATTATTAGTTTTTGTTTAGCTTGTTAGCTTTGGGGACTAAAACTCTATTCTCCTTATGTATTTTTTTTTCTAATTTATCAGGTTTGTTCTAATTTAAAATTATTGGTGCAGTTTTTTAATGTTTGTGGTGTGTTTTAATGTCATTCGTAATAGATCTATAAGATAAGATTAGTATTTAAATGTTCAAATCAACTTTAAATAAAAGGGGATAGATTGGTTATCGCTCAAAATCTTACATTTTTATGCTCGTAATATTTATGTACTAAGCAAAATTGGTCTTTCCTTGCATTGGGTATGAGACCGGTCTAGAATAGTTGCTCCAAAGACTTATTATAGTGTGGCGCATGGAAAGCCTTCAAAAAAAATGTGTCCCAGAGAAGTGGAAATGGACTAGAGACGTCTTTATTAAATGTCTATCTCATCGTTGAGACATTTCACATGTTTCTTTGCACGTGGTTCTAAGTTTATAGCTTAAGGTGTGACACTTTTATCTAGAATACTCAAGTGTTATATTTTTGAGATATCATTTAGACCATTGATTTTTCACCTTTCATTTACTCTCATTTTGCATCATTGATTTGTTTCATTCGTTTCACTATATAAGAGTTGCTTTAATTTTTTAAACAACTTTCTGCTTCCTTTCATACTTTACCTAACTTCCTAGTGACCTTTTTCTTTTTCATCTTCAACGCTCTGGTGATTCATGTTTTTTGCCATATTCCTTTCTTGTTAGGGCCTTTACATTGTCAAACTTTTCCTACTTTGAATAGTTTTTATGCTTCATCTTCTTGTTCAAGTTCCACCTTTTAACCTTTCCTTTTCATTTGTTGTTTATCTATTTTTTTAGCATTTAACATGGTTAACTTAGGAGATGTACCTAAGAATATAAATAAATTTGATGAGGGATTCTCATGTACCAGCGATTTATTAGAATCCTAACATCTAGGCATGAAAAGATAACTCGCACCCGTGGAGACCCACCCGAACCTACCCCCGAGTTTGACGGGGAAAAGCCGCTTTGATTAGGTTTGAATTTCCTCAATTACAAAATATGCAAACGGGTCGGATAACAAGGACACTAGTGCCTACCCAAAACCCACCCATTTATTTTATTGTGTACTTTATTATTTAGTTTGATAATTTAGAATACTAAATATATGGTTAATGCTATGCTAGTTTGATTTATACTTTATTATTTAAAATATTTTAAATGTATGTATGAAATTTTTTGAGATTGTTTTATTTTATTATGTGTAATGTAATTTGATGTTAGAAAATTTTAATATTTTTATTATAAAAAAATTAGTTTTACTACATGGATGGTAGTGAGGAGGGAGGGGGTACCCGAACCCGTTTAGGACATGTTTGGGTTTTAATTTTTCATTCTCATTCTCATTGGAGTGGGAAACGGGGATTTTTCGGAGATTCAGGTTTGGGTATGGGGGAGATAAAAATCCTTTCATCCTGGTCTCGTTGCCATGCCTACTAACATCCCACATGATGAACCTCTAAAAATCAATGGCTCAAAGTTTATTGTATTGGGTGATAGTTATGGGTCTGAAGAAGATTATGTTAAAAGCGAAGATAACCTTATTAGTTTTTAGGAATGGGATGGAAATAGAAACTCCTGTAACCCGACTTATATGGAAGCAGTTGCCCGCCTTGCCTCCTCCCTTCAATCATATAGTGAATTGGATACAGCCATAACGATACGAGATGGGCAAATAGCTCTCTTGTACACCTATTATTTTAGAGCGGCATGTGGTTGAGACCCAGTGATATAGAACTTATGGATCATTTTACCTTTAGGAATAACCATATAGTTTCTAATTGGTGTTAACTTTTACATGACAACTAGGAAGAAAGGGTAAAGTCAAAACGTGCAAATTTGGTGTCGCCATTAGATGATGGGTTCTACCATTAGGTAGATCATGAGTTAATGGACACAATTTATGTTTTTTATAGTGCGTAGAGGGTGGAAGAGACTTAAATAAAAGTGAACCCTTCATTTGATTTGTTTCCCTCACATATTGATGTCAGTAAGAGGATTTACACCTCTTTTGATAGATGTTTTATTCCCTTCTAAGGGTGCATCTTCACCTAGATGAAGCTTAGGTTGTCCTTTAGTGCATTCAAATAGGAGTTGTTGATTCGCTTGAACAATGCTTCTTCTCAGCTACACCCATCTGCCTAGGCTTTTCCCTAGGTGTTTCAATATTGGTGCGAGTATCGGGAGAAGGCGTTGTCCATCAACCTCTTCAATTTATTATTTGTAGCCCATACTTCTAAAGATTCTATATACGGCCAAGGAATATTTTCACTTTGCAAATCAACTAGGATGTTTGTCATTTACATGGACAATTGGAAGAGTTTGAAATACCACTTTATTCTGGTGACCTTTCTAACTTTGGAAACCCACTTCATTCGTTGTAAGGTTCTTGATGGATATTTTTCCCATACATGTGCATCTGCATCCTCATCTTCCAAGTGCATGGGGATTAATAAATATTATACCTGAAACCACTTCAACAAGTAGTCACTTAGATATACTGTCTCTGATGACAAACTAACTCCAAAAGAGGTGTCGGCGAAGGAAGACATGGTGACATTTTTTGAAAACCTGGCTTTTGAATAGGGAAGAGGTGTTGGAGAAGTGAGGTTTATCAAATAATAGAGCAGGCTCACCAATACTCAGGTTGTCATGGACACTGCGCTATTGAGGAGAGGAAGGACCTTTTTGGTGAGAAAATGAAATTTGATTTATACTTGCTTTGGTATTTCTTGGATAATTACTAATTGTTTTTCTCTTTTTGTATAATATATGACATCCATAAGAAGTATCTACAAGGGGAATAGACCATGGTGGCTGATGTTATTCCCTAGACCCCTTTGCCTATACCAATCCTCACTTCAATAGAGGCGGCAGATCGACCTTTTATAAATGTTGTTACCGATTAATCTCTCATTGCCGTTGAGACTTTATCTTCCCCCAATTGTAGTCGGCTACCTATAATCAAGGAGAGAGAGAGAGAGAGAGAGAGAGAGAGAGGTCAAATTTATATTACATATCATAAGCATTCATAGAATTACAAATATAAACTAATAATATACACCAACTTTATGCTCTGGTCAAAGTTGATATAGGCTAATAATATCAACACTAGTCTTTTCCAGTTTATAAAAATATTTGAATCAAGAAAACAATTTTTCTCGTTTATAAAAATATTTGAATCAAGAAAACAAATTTTCTCGCTTATAAAAATATTTGCATCAACAATACAGTTTATTCCGTTTATAAAAATATTTGTATCTGCAATAATATCTTTTCCGCTTATGAAAATATTTGTATCAAGAATACATTTTAGTCATTTCTAAAAGTATTTGTATCAGCAATATTTATAAAAATATTTGTATCAGCAATATTTATAAAAATATTTGTATAAACAATACATTTTCCCATTTATAAAAACATTTGTAGCAATAATAATTTCTTTTTGTTTATAAAAATGATTGTATCAATAATAGAATTTTTACCGTTTATAAAAATATTTGTATCAACAATACACTTTTTCCGTTTATAGTAATATTTGTAACAACAATAACTTTTTTCTGTTTATAAATAATATAATTAAAAAATTTCAGATCAAACGAGTAACGAGCTTGGATAAACATTTTTCAGATCAAATGATACACATCAAATAAAATATTTGTGAAGGTAAGGTGTGTCGATACTCATATGTGAGTCTTTGTTCCGATTGGTTAAAACCAATTCTCTTGGTAATTGTTCGTTAACGAAGGTATTACCAAACACATATTGCGGTAACACCACGAACCTAAATTCCCCTTCTGGTCACCTCTCCAACTATGCTTTGGGCTTAAGTCTTTTCTTCGATTTTCTACCCCTTTCATTCGGATAATCGGATTAAGGCACTTTTAATCGCTTTCTCTCACATGCATAAGATTTGATCGAGATTTTTTCGAGGCAACTTTATTCTTTTTCTCACGCATTAGCGTTTATTAGTCCACTTTGGGACGACTATAAAGATTCAACCGTCGTTAGGCTAAGTATCCGGATGAGGGTTACCCAACTTAGAAGGATCAATTTTAACACCCTAAATTTTATTGAAATATTTATTTAATTTATTTAAATATGAATATTCGCGTGATTTTCGGT